ACACCATCCTGGCTTTAAAAAATCTTATTATACCTGGAAAATGCGGGGCTTAAGCACCTTCAAATTTTTTATTGAAATTCCACCTACGCTTGTACATTTGATGTACTAAAAAAATGAAAATTTAATGTGACGCGATAAATAATAATTTTATGGACAAAGGGATTTTAACTGTGGGGAACAACGTGGCAATATTAATTTGTTCGTTTTGGAACTGAGATATTGTGTGAGCCAAAGTTGTAATATATTTCAGTTATTATAAGACTATAAGGCGGATTTAGCGCCGGTGGTTCAAATTATATCTTTTACACAAAAAACTAATTCGGGTTTTGCAAAATCCTTTGGCGGCCGTTTTTGTCATGCCGCGGTAACATTTAAAAGGATAATATAATGCATTTTGCGGAGACTTCACACTGGAAAAAATATTACTCTCAAAGTGGGTACTCTCGCTCTATTCGTACGCATTATTCATGTTAATCCTGCTGAATTAAAATCTTAATTAAAAAAAATAAACGATTAACCGTTTAGTCTCTTTATGGTAATACTCTCGAGTTATATACATACACATATATTATGCTTTATAAAAAAAAACATCTTTACAGCCTATTAAATTTAATAAAGAAACCCCTTGGAAATTGTTTTGTGTAAAAAAAAAAACACAACATTTAGATATTGTGTTTTAAACAAAGTTACAAATACTCGTCGAGTTTTTCTCCAATTATTTACTTGTAATTAATGAAAAATGTATTTTGTTTTTGAACATGCCTTATTCGCCAATAAAACCACTTTTTATTTGTATTTTTCGAGTCACCGATAAAAAAATGGTACACATCATTTATAAAAGCCTGACTTCGTTGTCAAGGAAAAAAAGCAATTAATCACGACCGATATTGTTGCCATTGTTTACCTGTTTGTTTAATTTAAACTTTTCTGTACGAACTCTTGATTAATTCATACTCTAATTGCTGCAATCACCAAAAAAATAATATTATAAACCCTCACAGAGTTCACCAGATAGAACATAAAACACGTTGATTTTTTTAAAGCAGTGTTTTTTTCAGACGTTGTTTGTTTTAGCATGAACACACTATAACTTCATAGAATCGCTTTCAACTAAACGCTTGACCTGATTTTATTATTTTCTTTCTGTGTCTCATGGTTTGGATCTATACCAGTGTACTGTGAACTTGTCATCCAAAGCGAAGCTTTTATTTGATTTTATCACAATTTTCTATAAACTTGTGACACCAACCACACCGTACTGGCTTTTAGTTTCGACGCGGAGCCGAGAAGGTATTGTATTTACAATGATTCGTTTTTATTTTTCTGTCTGTACCCATATGTTCGCTTCTAGGTCGCCAAACCGACTTGTGCGTGTAGCAACTCTATGGCCCAGAAATCGTACCCGTGGACCAAACAATTTTATAAATTTCACCTCTTTACCTGAAATATTTTTCTTAACCTATCAGACCGCGGATTCGCATCGAAGCGTTAGTTTAAAAGTGATTTTATCACTGTCAGTATGATGTACCGTATACAATCGTGTGTCCCGACAGCATGTTGAGCTGTTGTGTGTGTGTGTGTGGTTTTTTTTTTGTAAGTATATATTATTATTATTATATTTTAAAATTTGGCTCTGGGCGCGGTGCTAAATTTAACGAGCGTGTCGCTGTGTAGGCTGCCGGCGACGGCGGCGGTTGCTGTACGGATAATAATATTATAGCGGCTGCGAAGGCTCTCAAACGATTCTCGTCGTGAACCGCACTTATCTATACTCGCGGTAATTACCATTATTATTATTATTATCTTTAGAATGTAAAAAAAAAAATAAATAATAAAAATTTTTAAAAAATGACAATGTCGGCGTTCGTTACTGTGCGTTCCTCCGACGGGTCGTCGTTGACGTCACCGCGATAAAAATCGTTTTGGTTGATATGAAAATTTTATAAAAAAAAAAATTGTTTTTTAAAATTGTTTTCTTTAGTGTATCTGTGTTGTTATACGCGAGTGATGAGATAACCGAGATGATCATGTAAACCGCGTGTGGTGTGCGATTGGCCGCGTCTCGGGACGGAAGCAACCCGAGATAATGTATTGACCGTATTGCCATGTCATATTCTTACTTGTCGTCTACGTACACTGCAACAAGAAGGTACGCCGCCTTGGATTAATAACACTCTATTCGTCTTGACCGTTAGGCCAATAAAAATTAATAATATGGACTGCCGCACCCAAGACGTGGTCCCGATTAAAAAATCTACTCACAATTAAGTTTTCTGGTCACTTTTTAAATAAAATTAAACAACTAAGTTGAAGTTGTTTTTCTTATGTTATAGACATAGAGGTCAGATCTACCGTTCGACTAAATTACAACAGCTATCAAGTATTATATAATATTGCATCTTCTTCTTCTTCGCTTTACACTGGTGTGGCAGGGTGGTGAAAATTTGGGTTTGAGGCGATATGGACATGCTTAAGTTTTTATGTAAATTTCGTATCGGTCCGTGCGTTTTTCACCAAGTTAGAGCAAGTCAAAGTTGTAAACCCACAATTTGTTTGGGGGGGGGGGGGGTACTAACGTTAAGAAAGGCAACCAAACTATAATAATTTAGTACAGGCCCATTACACTACTATGGTTCAATCATGAATAAAATATATAGTTTTGGTCTAATTTAAGTTGTTATCACAAGAAACAAAAATAATCAATTTTTTACTTACTTAACAAGAGTTAAGTTAACAAGAGTATAAAATATACAAATGACTGTAGAATTTGTTAAAACTTACACCGGGAAATGAAAATCATCTTAGTATAGTGTCATTGTGCATCAATGGTAGTAAATAACCCCGTTGAAATAAAACGGCACACGACAAAACACTGATTATAGCAATATAATATCTCGGATAAAGTAATCCGGTTTATTAGTATATCCCAATACTAAAATAAAAATTATTATGAGACAAATCCAAACTTTGAATTTTATTAATTTTTAGTAATTGAAGCCAGTGTGTGCCGAGAACCAGGTCGATAAAGGTTCGGTAAACATGCAAATTGCATAGTAAATTTTGTGCAAAAAAAAACCAGAGTTAACGTGACTAAAGACTAAATTTATGCCCCATTGACTTCCCCGCACACTCTGCCTGACGGTACGGCGATTTGGTTTTCGCGTGCAGTCCATTTAGTTTAAGGCCTTAACCTACTATTTTTTTTTGTGTGGTTTTTTTTCCATAACAAAATGTACTGGAAACGTATAACTCACAAGCCAGGGCAAAGTCTGCCTCAAAAGTTATCTCACATCGATTACAAGGCTGTCAGACACCACCGATAACAGCCTATGGCAATAGCGCCGACATTTCAACAAAATATAGGACACCGTTTATTAACTATATGCTAATATTATAAATACATTGTAATGTTTGTGACTTGAATTCACCAAGAGATTACGCACAAAGTCAATTGGTGGATCAGAAATTCGGTCAATGAGTTCTGGGTCATCCTAATGTACTACAACATTGTGTAGAATGGCGGCGTGGAACCCGATAGTGGGAGCGGATATTTCAATAATATTTACTACCTAGCTTTGTTTTAAGGCACACCCGTTATGAAATTAGTAGTACATTTATCAACGGGATTGACGGTCTCCGTAGCCGTTTGCTGCCCAAGTGCTCGTTATCCACATTCCTCTCCCGAAGAGATGACATGGAGTTCACATTGCAGCTGTTATTGTTGCCGATAGCCGTTGACACTGCGTCATCTCGCGGATGATTAATGATTTTCAAGGACCAAATGGCGTTTAGGATGAGACGTCATGCCCCCACCCCCTGCCCTTCTGGTCTCGTCTGTGAAGTACCGGCAAAAATAATTGCATTCATCTCGTCTGGAGAACGTCTGAGACTGTGTGAGAGATAATTATTGAGCAACACTAACAGTGAAATTATTGCACCGTGTTATTTGTTTGTTGTAAAATATAATATTTTATTCTAAGATTTCGGGCAAGACGACCAACAAAACCTATTGTCGGTCGACCGATAAGTCGTGGGGGGAAAAAAATGCTCTTCCGATCGATATCTATTGGAAGGACAAAGGCCGTACCTTTATATAATATGTTTCTATTAACCGTCGTTCAATATAACCCGAAAGGCTTTCATAGGAGTTCCGTCGGCACAGTAATTAATCTTACCGGTTGCTGGCGTGCAGCGAAACGGCAAGCGAGACAAAATAAGTTTATTAATCATCTGGCCGACCCGAAATCCTTCGCGGACGGTACCCCGTTCAGTCATTCTTTAAATGTATATAATGTATCGCCGTCGTTACCATTAAATCGAGTGCGAGATCAATAATGTGCTTAAAATTGTCATTCTAGTATTTGGGTAGATACCTACGATAATTATTGCCTAGTGAACCCTAGGAATAGTTTTTTTTAATTTAATAAATATAATAATTGTATCTGGTATAGTTTTTATTTAATTCAAAGTCCGGGACATGGTAATGTTGTACAATGAGTGTCTATGGACCAGTTAAATTTTTTTTATTAGACCTTAAAAAAATATTAATAATAATTATTTTAAATATAGTCATTATTGCGGTCGTTACTACTTAGGCTACAATGGCAATTATTATTGACACCACGGTGACATAGAGACACACACATTACTTTGGCCACTGTAAGCTACACATGTCATCGTCTCTGGGTGTTTTTGGCAAGTGTCTCTAATGTTTTTTCGCTACATTTGTGATCGTTTATAACCAAGAATACTTCAAAGGGAAATGTTTAAACATGTTGTGTGTGTGTAAATCATTATTTTTTATAATTGAATTACACATAAAACGGAATGGAATATTATAATATTTTTGCGTTATCGCATACAGATAGGATAACTAATTGATGTAAAAAAAAAAATTAATGTGATATACAATATTATCGAATAAACAAATGTTTAGACGTAATACAAACCCAAACTATGTATGTAACTGTCTTAAAAAATAATCTTAAAAACCAAGCATGTCTATTCATAGCTAAATCATTTATTGAAATACTATAATAGCAGAAAAACGTATAATTATAATAATTGCTTAATTCTAATATTGTTAACAGTAATGTTAGTTTGAAATTAAAACCCGAAAAATACAATACCTACCCGTTTTGAACTTAACAATCATACTGTTTTTTATTATTATAAAACATTAACAAGCAATTATTAGTGTTGCCCAGTTTTGCAACCGGTGTTGCATATTTAAAAATTTAGTTTTAATATATTATTTACTATTGGATCTAAATGTCATAGAGTTCCCTTAAATCTAACACATCTGTGACATATGTCAGTTTGGTCCAAATTTTCTTAACGTCGGCAACGTATTTCCTTAGATTGTTTATGTTTTCTTGGCCAGCAGCGTGTTCTACTTCATTGATTTCTACATCATTCTTTAGCCCCAAATTAGATTGTTCTGCTTCTAATAAACGTACAAATGCACTTGCGTTGGTATCTTCTTTGAAATAACACACGAAATAATAAACAATCCTTCTATACAACATCATTATATTTACCGGAAAAGATCTGTCTAAAGATTTTAATACTATCGACATGGTGTTCAAGTTATTACGATAAAGCAATAAATTACCGTGGTCCACACTAGTTTGAACAATAGTTTTTATGTGTTCATAGGCCATAAAATAAATTGATTTTATCATGGCCACTAGATAGCAGATGAGGTATTTTGGATTGATGTTTTCTTTGGCCAAATCGCGAATTTCCTTTAATTTCCTCCAATCGCCTTCCAACAAAACCTTGATACTGTGCAGCTTTGATAAACTGTTACTACTGATCAAAGAATTGTCAAATATATCGTTTAATAACCAATTTTCAATGGTTAAAATTTTATTTCTATCGATGTCCATTTCGAAATTTTGAATGTATTTATAATTTTCTTCGATTAAATTACTTACGCACTCCACAATTGGTATCGTTAGATTTTTGTCTATAATAGCTTTGCATTTTTCATTTATCGCGGTACTAATCGAATCAGTAAAATCATCAGAAGGCAAACGCGTTGCACAGTTGTGAACTGTGTATTGTTCAAACAGATTGACTATAAATCTATCGGACCGCTGAAATATTTCGAATTTTGAAAGTAGACTGTTAATATTCACAGGTTTGTCTTTAAAGCTGCCGAGTAGATCATCACTGTTAAAATATAGTTTAGCAGCTAAAATCGCGTCAATGACTTTTCGGTTGGTATGTGTATACGGCCATTCCAAATGTGGTGTTGAAATAGCAGCTAACGAATTGCTAAACGTGGTTTCTATAGATGTTATAGATTTCTTTATGATTTCAAAACATTCGATAGTAAGTTTTTTCCAAGCCTGCGAATCATTTTTGTTCGACTCCAACAGTTGGCGACACTGTGATATTATGAAATCGTTGAACATAAAATGTTTGATAGCGACATACGACAATTCACAACTGTAGTTTTTTGATAATTCCAAAGTTGAAGTCATTTTGAAATGATCCTCCAATGTTTGGTAATAAATACCCTCAAAATCAACAATTTTCGTATAGTCATATTGTAAAAATCCAATTTCTTCATAGTCATAGTCGCATAAGTATTCGTTAATCATGATTGCATTTTTTATGTAAATTTCCATAGCTGTTAATTGGCTCGTAAAGTATTTTAACAAAGTGGTTAATCGCTCTATGTTTATTTCGTAAAACTCCTTTAGTAGGCTGCGAACATTATATTCCACTAATTCTTCTTCTTTCAATCCATAACTACGTGGTCTGTATATTCTATCGTATAACAGTTTTTTTAAAGTGAGTTGTGAGAATCCAGGAAATTTAAACTTTATTAATATGTCGATGGCTTCTTCGATGATTGCTTCTGTAGATGGACTCATAGTTCGACCTTGTTCAGTTAAATACTTGTTGATTTTTCCTACAGAGTACAGTATCAAAGAACTTATACTTTGAAACACTATTGTCTGAAATTTCGTTACTATTTCGGGACAGCTAATGTGCATCAAACTATAGTGAATCTCTCCGATTGTATCGTTTCGTATATTATTTCTTACATACATTAAACCTAACGTGAAATCTTTTTTGATTTTTGAGTCTAACTGAGCGAATACGACATTGGTCAGTAGTAAATTTTTCGAATCGAACATTTCTCGTTTGAAATATGTTTCGGGTAAGTACAATTTTTCTACCGTTTTGGCGTCATATTCTTCATTGCTAGTTTTGATTAGGTTCTTTTCGAATGAACAATTGAAAACCGCAAAAGCTTCAATGGTATTTCGCGTATACAAATTCACAGTGAGAAATTCGCTGACGAATTGTTCGTCGATTTTTTTCGGATCGGTGGAAAGAGTGTCAATTTCTATATTGTTTATAAACAAATGAACTGCCGTTATGGCGTTCAATAAATGTTTGTTAGCAGGTGAACTGAATTTTTTCTTATAATTAAATAACGTTGTCAACATTCTGATAACGACGCTTGTTCCTAACGATTTTAATTGTAGTATTATATTTTGGAAACATTGTACTAATCTTGAAGCATTTTTATCGGATTTATCGCATTTTACAATTTTTGAATTTATCGTTTGTAGCAAATAAATTATATTCTCCGAATACAAACAACTCAACGCAGTCAACGACATGTCGGTTATGACTTTAAAGTCTTCGCTTTTAACTTTCTTGTTTATGATTTGTGACCCATACATTTTACCGATCGACGTGATCCCCTTGTTTTTCCATATGTACACATCCTTTAGAGTGTCCAAATCCGGTATTTGACTTAATTGGTCGTCACCAATCGCTTGCGGTAAAAACAGTGGTATTAAAAAGAAACACAATAACGTTATTACCTGAATTATCGATGTCATTTCATAAGCTTTTGTTTTCTGGTGAAAAGTTATGTTGTGCTGATGTGGTAAATATATAGCCACGTATTAGACTGTACTCACACAAATGAACAAAATCGGCAAAACCGTTACTTGGTGTTGTGTTCTAACGTTCTTGCCTACACATCTGTACAAATAAGCAAAACATGTAAATCGATTCGCTAGCACTGTGTTGAAACATAACGCACTTTCTTCATAAACTAGTGTACAACGTTTTTAGAGATATATTGTACTATGTAATATCGTAATATGGATTTTTTTAAAAATATTTTTCTATTTTATTTAAACCGATTTACATGTAATCAATTTCCTATTTGAGGTGGATGACATCTTACATTCCTCAGCTGGAATGTATCATCGTTTCCCAATGGGTTTTTTCAATATTTTAGTACAATTCAATTAATTCCTATAAAACCTACCAAACAAATTGTATGGGTACCCAATTTACAGTTTAATAACTTGTTTAAAGCTTACCTGAAATCGGCCAAAGACTAATAGACAAATGCCATTAAATATCAATAGAGTATATTACGGTATTAATGCTGAAAGTTGAAACAGATTTTCAAGAAATTGATTTCAATAGTATCGAATTACGTTTACATAACAGTGTAATGTAAAATTGAATTAAATCAAATGCTTAAGTTATCATTTATAATTATATTTCTGTACAGTGAATGAAATGTTAGAATTTAGGTAGATACTAGGTTGTTCACTTATCATTTTTCTACGGGCTGGTTATTGATTATTTACAATGTCAAGACGTATAACTGTAGTTACTTATGATATACTATAATATTATGATAATATCAGATAGCTATGTGATAATTGTATGGGAATACTACATTACGTACCATTAACCTTAACGCCGCGCCGAAGTGTAGCCCGTCGTCATTAATAGCCTTTATTATTGTTTTAATAAACCCTAAACCAATGCAGAATGCTATACACATTTTTTTTTTCCCCCAAATTTTTAATTATTCAGTTTTTAATCATAATTTAAATAAAAATAAAACATATCATCCCATTTGAAAATCGAAAGTTGATATCTATATTATCTGTCGGGGAAGGGGTAACAGTATAAACAAATAGTGGACATTTGAGATCCCTTAGAATAAAAAAATAACATTATTAATTTAGACCCAATGAGATGTTGAGTACTTCATGATAAAATTATCATACTGTATTATTACAGTAAGTAAACTTAGAAAGAGTACACCATTCATTACAACCATTATTATGCGCTACAACTGCATTTGGTTTGTAAAATAATTGTATCCATTATTTAGCTGCTATTTAAATTAGCCCGATTATATATAGAGACAAAATACGAACCCAAACTAAATGTATGAATATGTTAAAAACAATTTATTATAAACAAAACACGTCTATTCATTATTAATTTTTTTATTTAAACACTGTATTAGTAGAAGAACGATAATTGCTTAATCCTAATATTTTTAACAGAAAATTTACTTTGAAATTCAAATTTTCAACGTTTTTTTAAAACTGAAAAAAAACCGTTATAAACTTAAAAATCATACTGTTTTTAATTATTAGCAAATATTAACAAGGAACAATTACATTTACCTAGTTTTAACCGGTGATGCACATTTTTTAAATTTAATTTTAATATATTATTAACTATTGGATCTAAATGTCATAGAGTTCCCTTAAATCTAACACATCTACGACGTGTGCCAGGTTGGTCCAAATTTCCTTAACATCGGTCACGAACCTCATTAGATTATTTATGATTTCTTGACCAGCAACGGTTTCGGATTCATTACCAAACGATTTACTCATCTCTACATTGGTTCTTTTAGATGTCGTTTCAAGTTTCAGTTGTTTCAACGTTAGGTGTTCTACTTCATTGATTTCTAAATCATTCTTTAGCCCCAAATTGGATTGTTCTGCTTCGATTAAATGAACGAATGCATTTGCGTTGGTATCTTCTTTGAAAAAACACAAGAAATAATCAATAATCCTTCCATACATCACGGTTACATTTACCGGAAAAGGTGTTCTTAACGATTTTAATGCTATCGACATAGTGCTCATGTTATCACGATAAATCAATAAATTACCGTAGCACGCGCTAGTTCGAACAATCGTTTTTATATGTTCATAGGCCATAAAAAAAATTGATTTTATCATGGTCACTTGATAGAAGAACAGGTATTTTGGATTGATGTTTTTTTTGGCTAAATCGCGAATTACTTTTAGTTTCCTCCAAACGCCTTTCCACAAAACTTTGATACCGTGCAGCCTTGAAAAATTGTTACTTTTGATCAAAGACTTGTCAAATATATCATTAAATAACAAATTTTCAACGGTTAAAATTTTATTTCTATTGATATCGATTTCGAAAATTGGAATGTTTTTATAATTTTCTTCGATTAAACTAATTACGCACTCCACAATTGGTATCGTTAGTTTTTTGTCTATAATGGCTTTGCATTTTTCATTTATCGCGGTACTAATCGAATCAGTAAAATCATCAGAAGGCAAACGCGTTGCACAGTTGTGAACTGTGTGTTGTTCAAATAGGTTGATTATATAACCATCGGATCGCTTTAATATTTCAAATTTTGAAAGTATATTGTTAATATTCACAGGTTTGTCTTTACAGCTGCTGAGTAGGTCATCATGGTTAAAATATAGTTTGGCGGCTAAAATCGCGTCAATGACTTTGCGGTTGGTATGTGTGTACGGCCAATCCAAATATGGTGTTAAAATAGCCGCTAACGAATTGTCCAACGTGTCTCCTAGAGATGTTATGGATTTTTTGATGATACCAAAACACTCATTCATTAGAGTCGTCCAAACCTGCGAATCTTTTTTGTGCAACTCCAACAACTGGCGATACTGCGATATTATGAAATCATTGAACATAAAATGTCTGATCGCGACATACGACAATTCACAACAGTGGTTTTTTGATAATTCCAAGGTTGACGTCATTTTGAAATGATCCTCCAATGATTCGTAATAATAAATATCGTTTAGATCAACAATTTTCGTATAGTCATATTGTAAAAATCCTATTTCTCCATAGTCATAGTCGCATAAGTATTCGTTGATCATGATTGCATTTTTTATGTAAATTTCCATAGCTGTTAATTGGCTCGTAAAGTATTCTAACAAAGTTGGTAATTGTTCGTTAATGCCAATTTCGTAAAACTCCGTTAGTAGACTGCGAACATTATAATCCACGAATTCTTCATCTTTTGATGTATAGTAAAGTGGTCTAAATATTTTATTGTATAACAGTTTTCTCAATGTGACTTGTGAGAATCCAGGAAATTTAAACTTCTTTAATATGTCGATGGCACCTTCGATGACTGCTTCTGTGGATGAACTCATAGTCTGACCCTGTTCAGTAAAATACCTGTTGATTTTTCCTATCGAGTACAATATCAATGAACTTATACTTTGAAACACTATTGTCTGAAATTTCGTTACTATTTCGGGACAGCTAATGTGCATCAACCTATATTGAATCTCTCCGATTGTATTGCTTCTTATGTTATTTCTTACATGCATAAAACTTAAGGCGAAATCTTCTATTTTTAAATCTAGCTGAGCGAATACGACATCGGTCAGTAGTAAATTTTTCGAATCGAACATTTCTCGTTTGAAATATGTTTCGGGTAAGTACAATTTTTCTACCGTTTTGGCGTCATATTCTTCATTGTTTGTTTTGATTAGGTTCTTGTCGAATGAACATTTGAAAACCGCAAAAGCTTCAATGGTATTTTGCGTATACAAATTCAGAGTGAGAAACTCGCTGACAAATCGTTCATTGAATTTTTTCGGATCGGTAAAAAAACTGTAATGAGATTCGTCAATTTTGATATTGTTTATGAACAAACAAACCGCCATTATGGCGTTCAACAAATGTTTGTTAGCAGGCGAACCGAATTTTTCCGTATAATTAAATAACGTTGTTATCATTCTAACAACGACGTTCGCCCGTAACGAATTCAACTGAAGTTGTATTGTTTGAAAACATTGTATTAACCTCGAAGCGTTTTTAAGATGTATGCCTACGGATTTAACACTGAGTATTGAACTCCGGATCTCTTGGCATTTTTCAATTTTTGAATCTATCGTTTGTAGCAAATGAATTATATTCTCCGAATACAAACAACCCAGCGCTGTGACCGACATGTCGATTATGACTTTAAAGTCACTGCTATCAACTTTCTCGTTTATGATTTGTGGACCGAACATTTTACTGATCGACGTCAACCCCTTGTTTTTCCATATTTTCACGTCCTGTAGAATGTCCAATCCCGGTATTTGACTTAATTCGTCATTGCCAATGGCTTTTCGTTTTACCGATTCAGTAATAAGTGGTATTAGAAAAAAGCACAATAATGTTATTACCTGGTTTATCGATGTCATTTCAAAATTTTTTTTTCCTGATGAAAAGTTATATTTGTGCTGATGTGTTAAAATATTTTACCCACGTATTAAGCTGTACCGCACAAATGAACAAGACCGGGTTACTTGTTGTTGCGTTGAAACGTTTTTGTTCGCATATCTGTATCAATAAGTAAAATATGTTATTTTATTTGCCAGCCTACGTTGAAGCTTTAAATCATGATAACAACCTACTGCCATGTACATAACTAGAGTACAACGTTAACACTTGTGTAAGGTTTGTTGTTATGTTGTTTCCTAATGTTTTATCAAAGTACTTTACGCGTTATAACAATGTGTTCTCACATATTAAATTTACCTGAATAATTTTACACAAATATACACGTTTTGTCTGTATAAAGAATATCGTCTTTATTTTATTGTGGTTTTTATGCAAAGTTGAGAAAATGGTGTGTTTTAACTCGCGTATTTAAATATTGTAAAATGGATTCTTTTTAAATATTTTTCTTGTTTTTTAATTCGACTTATGTGTAATAAATTCCTTATTTGAGGTGGATGACATTTTAAATTCCTCAGCTGGAATGTATGGTCGTTTCCCTGTGGGTTATCTCAATATTATAGTATGATATTATTTGTTTTTTTGTTTTATAAAGTTTCGTATCTCACTTATGGTTGTTGACACAAAAGTTTAGATTGACTAAATTCATTGGATGATTTTTGACTAAATCGGTTCAAACGACTAATAATCTCTAAGATCTACTTGTATCTAATTAAGCATTTATCCTTGCGATCCGGTGAATTGTATTTAATTAAAATAGCCAATATCGTAATTAAATATTTTATTTCATGTATCATTTCTTGTGGCAATTACTAATGTAAAGTGTGAATTTGACCTCTTCGACCTAGTGCAATAAATAAAATATGTGTTCTCGATTGCCACGTCGCTTTGGTTTTTAATAATATTTTTCAAACTGAAAAAATTGCGGGATTCATTAATATTATATTACGTTGACACCCCCATAAAAATCAGCACTAGAAACCTTGTTGCTATATTATCACCTAATGTTTTTAAAAGTGTTTTGTACGGTATAACAAAGTGTAGTCACATATTATATTCACCTGGACAATAGTACACAAATATGCACAATTTGGGTCTAAAAAGGTCCTAACTTCCTTGATTTTATTGTTTTTTTAACGCAACGTTGAGATGAC